TCTTTTGCGATGTTGCGCCGTCGTAGTCTGATAGAAACTTGCCTAGGTTTCAGGGGCTCTCACTGCTTCGATCGTCAGGGCTCAGACTACAAGGTGTAGCATCTCAGAAGACAGCCATCTTCTTAATTTTTACTCCAAGAACCAAGTGCACCGCAAAATTTAACTCTGTTAGCGAAATGCAGGCGCCTTCACGACACTGACACTCACAAATTTTCCTGATTAGTAGAAGCAATTATAAATGTCACCAGAAAAATTGCCAGCAATTGGTAACTCGTGGTGACCTCTCGACCCGCATCTTCGCAGCCCACTCACTGGAGCGGTGTCGTTGGAGTGGCTTTCAGAGCGGCGCTTTCCAAGTGGATGGATGCACAGAATCTGACTCTACCCTACAGAGGAGTGTTCTTATGTTCCTTCTGCTACTGGATTCGATGTCAAGGAATGGGATAGTACCACCAGCTTTGAGAACCAAACAGAACTTAGAAATTCCAGTGGACTTTAGGGCCTGCGCTCGTTCTGAGGGTTTGGGCCACTCCCTTCCTTACTGTCTCGAATTAATTGTTTGCGAGTAATCTTTTCATCGGGCTGTACGCAGTCTGAGCTGCTGACAGCGTTGCTAAATAAACCAGAAATATTAATCTGTACTGAAAAGAAATGGAGGCATGACACACGATCTCCGAACTGTTCAGCGTTTGTATCCATGACGACGACGTGAGAGTACCCGAATTGTGTCGTATCTTCTGATCGATACAGAGGACCAGTCTCACTTGTAGGGTAGCGTGGGGATAACGACGCCTCGTCTTTGAACGCAGCGCGCTGATTGGCTGCAGATGCTTTGACGACGTTTCGGGTTGCTTCCTCGGTGCCTGCATCTTCGCTAATGAACCGATTTCTTTTCATGTCTTTTGTTATTTATGCTAGAAATTAGACAGTGCTACTGCTGCTGGGATATTTGTTATGAAGTGCGGAGAATGACGATGGCCGGATTATAAAATCGCGCGATTCCCCAAACTTTCGGAATTAAACATTTTCTGACATCATCCAGGCAGGAAACTTCACTTGTGATTGGAGTACTCAGGCGAATACATTTTCACGCTGAAAGTGACGCGGTTGATTTTCGTGGCAAGGTGATGTCCCTGACATGAAAATGTTCCATCGGCTGTCGCAGAAGGAACGAATAATGAAACCGACTGCAGTATACAGTGTCCCGTAATTTTATGTCGGAAAGAAATATTTCGTTTAGATAAGCAAAATGCATGCGGGGTCTAAAGTCCTTGGCCATAGAAACACGAGATGTTCTTAAATCTCGCACCCGATCTGAAACAGAAGGAAACTGCGAAGTCACTTTCGCTGGACCTGCTTTCGAGCAACTACCACTCACGTGCAGGAGAGATACGTATAATGGTTTCTGCGCTGTGTGGCGCGACAGACATTTCAACAGTTCTGTAGTAAATAATTTAACAACAACGTTCCATTACTGTTTGTGCGTGGTCGGTAACAGTGGCCCCCTGGTTCACCGGACCTCACACCAGTTGATTCAAGAGGGGATTTGGAAATAACGCGCGGGTGTCACGCTTCAGAAATTAAATATCAACCAGCCTTTACGAATATTTAAAAATTCTGTCGCTGGTACCCGGAACCATTCCGAGGTTTAACGGTGCCCGCAGGCCTCCACGTGCCTGGAATTAATTCAGTTCGCGTCGTGTGCCACATGCAGGGCCGATACCTGTTCATTGACGTCATACTCCACTTGGATCAGACAACAGGAAGTTAAAATCAATCGGTACGGCGTCCAGCAACACGCGGCCGTCTTCGTGTTGCCAATGTCGATGTTTCTAGTATCAAACTCTTCGTTTGTTTTCGGAGCGGCGTGATCTGGAGTGCTTTATAGAGGTCGCATGCTGAGGAGGGAAAAGCATGGAAGAGAGTGTGATTTTGAAATAGACGGGGAACCCGTCGACCTTGAGTCCTGCATTGGTCCATCGATGATGATGTCATTCGTACGTAGTTCATCTTCTGGCTGGCGATCGAAAGGCACAGTGTTCAGTTCTTGTATATAGCCTAATTTGGGGGTGAAGTATGGGGCACCGAAGTTATACAAAGTCAAAAAGCGACTGGGTGCTTATGAAATTCTGCACTGACATTTACAGGGCCACGAAGATTCAGAATTTAAAACCATTCTTGGTGAGGAAACTTTTCCCTGGAGTATAGATTTTTGAAATGGAGGATGAAATTCAGGTTCAGTCGAAAATTGCGAAAGCGAACTGGCGCGCAAGGAAAATCTTCAGACTGAAAGTTTCGTTCAGAAGCTTTCAAATTGCCAAGAAACCGTAAAAATGCAAAACAATTTTTTGCTCACAACGAGTGGAGGGGAGGGGAGGGGGGGGCGTTATGGAAGTTGTAACTCGGACCCCCTCGATGACCACGTGACGCGCTGACCTGAGCATAATTTATTCCTTCGTAGTCAGGGACTGACATCCGGCCCTGGGTTTCAAGCTGTGCTTGGTGTTCAGAAAAGTTTTATAAAACACAAGGACACAAAAAGTCGTAGTAAGCGAATTTGCCTTTACGCTGTTCGCAGCTAATATTTGGCAGCCGATTCCCAGGTTTTCCGCCTGAGGCAGTTTGGAATGCATCCAAGTTGTATCAAGCACAGTCACTAATTATAGCATCGAAATTGTTTGCTGATATTTAAAGAAAACACGTTGCTATTCATAGGGCCGTCTCGTCCCGTGTCTTCCGCTCGGTGGTAATACGCTCTTGCGTTACCGTAGTTTCACCGATAACGCAGGCTCGAGGCGGCGTGGCGTGGACACTGCAAGCTTATCAAGTCTTGGGCTGAGGTGCGCGGATCAGTGAGGCCCACATCGAGCGGCGATTCGCAAAATATCTTTTAAAAAAACAACGAACGGAAACGTCGTTGGCTTGTCGGAGCATTTCTGTATCGAACTGAAGATGGCAGTGCTCCACGCGTTTCCAACCAGCGAATTGATTAATTACGAAGTTGCGTGGCTTCTTGCTGCTAAGATGGTCTTCGTCGTGTTTCTGTCCTGCTGATTTTATTATTTGGACTAGCCGTGGTGTCCGGCTTCAAAATTCAGACTGCCATAAGACTGATGCTTATTCAAGAATCCCTGTTTGTCCATGTGGAAAGTACGTATTTATAGACTTACTTGCCCATTAGAAAATTCTCGAGATTATTTTAATTTTCCTGCTATTGTAATAAATTCTTCCCGGGTTACCAGCCGTGTCAGGTGGTTGAAAGGCGAAATTTTCTGTACCCTGAAGACGAGGACGAAGAAGGTTCTTGAAACGTTGGTTTTCTTCGCCTTTCAACCACCTGACACGGCTGGTAGCTCCAGATCAAATATTATTATTATTATTACTTTATTCTACCTTCATGCCCTTGGTCTTGTGAGAAAAGAAACCGCCCTCAAAACTGGGTAAAATTTTGACATTTTCACGACTCTCCGAGAACAACTGTGGGTTATGACGCCGTGCTGTATTGTGCGTAGATACGAAGCTTCGGTGTAACATGCTGTGTCCATCGTCAGAGTTTCAACCGCAGTCGCTTGTGTTCCGACAGGAGCCCGCTGAGAGTCGCATCCCCGTGTTCCTGAAGCACCCCTCTGCCGCGCCTTCGCATTTGTCCCTGCGCGGCGCCTTCACCCTGAGGTCTCACAATGACAAGACGATCACGCGGCCTTCGTCTCTCCTCGAGCTCTTCGGGAGGAACAAGGTAGCGGCTCTGCCCTCGAAACCCATGTCAGTTGCGTCAGGGCCGCACAAGGTCTTCGAATCGACGCCCGACAACAGTCAGACGTCGTGTTCATCGGCGTTCGGCGTCAGAACCGAAAATGTGAGGAACTGCGACGCGGCGGACGAGGGCAGGTGTTGGCGGGACGGCCCAGTGACGGCGGCACACCTGGGGCATCGCGTGTCCGTCAGTCGCACAAAGGTAGGCTGCTGACACGAGGTAACGTAGGACTACGTAAGTGGAGCCTAGGTGGCAGGATTTTAGTCCAGGAGGCTCATGGCGTTTGGCTGATAATGTTCTGCAGAACTGAAATACATCCAGTTTTTTAAGAGGGTTGGAAATTGCTCTGGTGGCCGCAATTTCCTAACCTTCTAAAGGCCTGACTTTGTCTACATAAAATTTAGAAATCCAGTTCCTACCCAAAGTAATTACAACCGGTGTTCATTGTAAAGGTGGGAATCCTCCGCTACTTCGGCGAAATCGAACAGAGCCCTGGTGTCTTCTGTGGAGTGGAGTTGGACGAGCCCGTCGGCCTGAACGACGGGTCGGTGGAGGGGGTGAGATACTTCACGTGCAGACCGCAGCATGGCATTATCGCCCCCGTGGGAAATGTCCGAACCGTTCCCGGGGGCGGCTGGCAGGAGGCTCAAGACTCCCGCTCCAGGAGGAGGAGTGAGACCTTCATTCTCGACGAGTCGGGGCCCTACAGTCTGCTGGAGGGACTCGAAACAACCGCGCAGCCGACTGACGAGGATGTAGACTGTTGCGAGATGCAGGTGAGCACAGCGGTGGTTGGAATCAGAAGACGAACCATCCCAACTGTTCGCTGCCTTTAAATTACCTTTTGGGCTGATTTTTTTCCTCCACGAATATGTCAACTTGCAGAAAATGTTAAAAGAGGGATTCGTTTGCTATCTCGGATAAGCATTCATTAAAGTAATAATTCGAAATCCACCCACACATTCTCTAATTTTATCATCCATTCCGCGTGATTTTTTTTTTTCATTTGCTTGAGCTCAGGATTGCATTAATTGATTTCCATCTGCGCTGAAGTAATTTTTGTTGTGTTCTATTAATTTAGTGCTCCATTAATAACCTTTAATGAACACTAAAACCTTTGCATTACTTGTACGTTTATCCAGTACACATTTTTGTGTATTGAGTGTGTGCGGGCAGTGAAAAGTTCTATGTGAAGGCTGTAATTTCATAAATAATTGAAGAGAGGAATGTCTGCATGCCATTTATAAATCCTTCTGCGGAACGTGCCTGTTAAATGGACGCTGCATACTTCTGTAGTCTTGCTCTTATTTCGTTGTGCGTCGGCAGGTCGTTGCATGGAAAGTCGAAAGAAAGAAAGAAAGAAAGAAAGAAAGGGTTGCTATTGACCAAACCCACCTTCGCCTGAATCGAGCTCGCTGATACAGGGTGTTGTGTCTTGCTCGCAGCAGCCAAGCGCCGTGTCGACTCCGACGCCCAGCAGCCCGGCCAGCAACGCAGCGCCGTGGGAGTGTTCGGCGAGCTCCTTGACGTCATCGCACACCCGATACCAGTCGCACCCTTCGCAACAGTCCAGCGTTCAGGGCTCCTTTGAGCAGGACGAAAGCAGTCTCGGTGTTCTCACCCCTGACCAGGTCTGTCCCGTGAGCGCGCTGTCCCGACACCAGTCTCAGCTCCAGACGCACGCCGCACAGCAGCTTAGCAAGCAGAACTCCTTCGAGCTGGACGAGAGCCTCGGAATTCTGACGCCTGACCAGATGATAGACTTCACCGTGTGCGCGGACAGTACTATTGCAGGACGAACTCCATCCTTCGAAGACATGGACGTCTTTCTTCTCGGGGATTTCAAAGGCGATCGCGCGGAAGATCTGCTGCCCGATCGCCTGCCATCAGAATCAGACGGGCCCTCTTCGTCGAATTACCCGTCTTCAGAATTTCCGCAATTTCCTGACGATGCCGAGAAAGTGACGAACGCCGATAACTTTCTTCTGTCCAAGACGGAGGACCACCAGCTGTGCACCCCAAACACGGTCACGTGCATGTCGGAGGACCTGAGTGACAACGTCTGCCCAGCAGTCTCCAAGTCCAGCGGCGGAGACTTCAGGGTCGGGCAGGATATTTCAGATCGCACGCTGTCACCCGAGGACCTCCCGATGGACGCTCCGTTCCAGGAAGTAATGGGAGAGATATTACAGAAATCAGATGTGACGTCAGAGGGCGCCCGTGACACGGCGGGGCTTTCGGGTAAGTGTTGGGCGATGGGATAGACGTCATTAAATAAACATCCTTATTCCAGAATTTTCGTACAAATGTAAGCGATGTGTTTGTCAGGCGCGACCTCTGCCGGCCCGTCATCGCGGTCCTCGGCCGCTCCTCCAGCAGGCAACAGTTTCGTGACCAGTGTGACGAGTATCACGAGCCTCGACAACGGATACCAGGGCGACGGGGAGTGGAGTCGCCCGGCGAGCAGGGGCGCCGATCACTCGCCCACCAATCACCGGGTCGTGAAGCCGAAGACGTCCACGGCAGACCCGATGACCGACTCCGACTTCTTCACTGAGAGCGATGCAGACATGCACGACGAGTTGGCTGCAGGCTCCAGTCGAGGGGACCGCAGGGCCCAGGTCATCGACGGCACGCTGTATGGGGCCAACCTTCACACTGGCGGCACGGGTGAGAGCTCTGTTTAAAATTGACCTCCGATGCCAAATTTAGTCTGAATTCGAATACTGGAAGCAGACCTCGGACGACCACGTACTTACTTATTGTGCGTCATTAAACTACTTGCAGGCCACCAGCACCAACGATGCCCCAGCTTCACGGCCTCCATCAACGAGGAAATGGAGTCCAGCGGCGTGTACTCGGACCTCGAGAGGCGGCCCGAAGATGCTGCCGCCTCCGACGAGAAGGCGGTGCAGGGCGAGGATCGAAATCCCGCGGAAGGAGATCTATCCCCCGATGCGTCCACCAAGACCGTTTCATCGCGATCCGAACAGAGTCAGGTGAAGGAATCTGTTCCCGTCTTTACAACGATTATCGAGCAGGTCGTGTCTGAGAGCATCAGAGACTTGACTTCGATTGCCGTAAGCGACAACAACTTGCTGGCAGAGAACAACTTGAAAAACCAGAGGGCCTTGTTAGTTTTGAACCCGGTTGCTGTCACAGGAGAACCCACGGATCTATCGTCGGACAAGCCGGCCCGGAAAACAGACGTTACTCCCCTCGAAAGCCCCGGAATCATCAAATCACCAACGACCGTTTCTGGTTCGTCTCTCGTCGCCTCAACCGGAAGCAAGTCCTTTAAGGATGACGGGAGTCTTCAGCCGAAGAAGTTCAAAATGCCGAAGAGGAACGTGGCTTCGAAGATAAAGGCGATGATCGAGTCGTCTAGCCCCTCCACCGGAGTAAGTCCTGACGCCGAGGACGAGAACCAGGAGAACAGGAGGCCCACCCGCGCTCAGCCGAAGACCCTGAGGAAGAACGGAGGTCGGTGGGACGCCGTCATGAGCAAGATCGCGCAGGGCCAGGCAGAGCAGAAGCTGAAGCCGCGGAGTCTGAAGGAGGTGAAGAGCAAGGTGTTCGCGAACCTCATGCCGCCCCCGACACAGCAAACCGAAGGGGCGCCTCGTCGCGGCGCAGAGCGCACCCGGAAGACCGTCTCGAGCAACTTTGGGCCGTCCGCGTCCTCGAGGGCTCTCAAGGAGAACTCTCCGCTGAAGACAAAGAGGTGAGTGCCGTCGTCGTTGGGCCTTAGAGCAGTCGACGCGCGACTTCGTGTTTCTTCTCACCGGGCGATGATTTTGTGCAGTCGCAGGGCACGAACCAGGGCCTCCTCGTCGTCCCTTTGTCAGCAGCAGCAGCAGCAGCAGGCCGGAGGAAACGGGACCGCTCCGGGCAGAGGGTCTTCGCGAACCAGTTCCCTCCACAGCTCCGTCAGTGACGTGAGCGTCAGTCAGCGTCACGTCGTTGGCAATGCGAAGGCCTGCTCAAAGTCGTCGTCGTCATCACTCCGTGAGTACTCGGCCTCTTACAACTAACGAAGTGGTAATTATACGTACCACCTGCTTTAGCGGAATAAGTGTCGGCCCAGCTACGTGATTTCTCACATAATACAAGTAGGCCTGCTTCTAAAGGCTACCTACTGGTACCAGCACATGAGAATGTGCTGGTACCAGTTTTCTGTTGGTATCATTTTATACCAAACTTCGCGTCCTCGGACGTTTCTGATGAGAGGAATCGCTGTCCCGGATGGGAATCAGTTAAGTCCGACAGAGCATGCGCAGAGCACTTAAAATGACAAAGTAAATCTGCAAGGAAATTGTAACTGTTTGTCTGGCTTCCAGTCTTTGCCTCTTCGTCAAAGCAAAACTTGTCCGAAGTCGAGGGATTTCACCGTCGATGTTCACGGCGCGTATCGTGGGGGAGCAGGACGCGCCATTTTCACGCCGCAATGAACTCGTTTTCTGGTTTCCGGCAACCAGAACAAGCGTTTCGCGTTCTATGTGCTGCCATCTAAGAACAAGTCTCGCAGGTTTCAACGTACGACTACAGAGGGCTCGAGCGGCAGGTCTTGCCAATCAGGCTATAAAATTTGGGTGTCGAAGGACGACGAAGACAAAGTTTAGGAATAAATGATAGAAAAGTCATCGACGGAAGACTGCATGATGATGATGATGATGATGACGTCGGACGTCCCACCCAAAAAGAAGCGAGGGAGTGATTGATCTTATTGGTCCTCTGAAGATGGAGACAGCATGTCCTCCGAAACACTTGCGTGTGCTTAAGAAACACGACAAGGCGAGCGTCGACAATCCCAAATTTCATAGAATTTGCTCCTGTCGTAGAAAACCACTCGCCGACGTTTCTGTGGCTGTGTTTAAAATTCTGTGCATCCTTTGGTGTCGGACGCAGGGAATGACTGCTTTATTTTTCGGGGTATTACACGTGCCAGAGAGCTGGTTAACCCTCTGAAGCCACGTGGAGCTGTGCTTTTCCTTCCTTGACGTCACGACAGTTCGCCAGGCATTGCAAGACTCAGATAAATCTTTGAGCCTCTCAGCCCAAGTGTGGAATTTTTGAAAGCGTGGCTCGTGTGTTGGTACTTAGCAGTAAGTGCCGTCGGCTAGTCGGTTTAAGAACACCCGGTAGTTGTCACGGTTCTGTAACCTCGCCTTCGAGGGGAAGCCAGAGGCCGTTAGGAAAATTGACATTCGTGAAGAAGTTTATGTTCTGTTTCTATAGTAACGGATGTGTTCGGTCACGCGGAATAGACAAAAATTCATCCTCAAATCCCGAAATCAACAGGCAGACAGGCGATGCATCATTTTGAGTGATATTATTAAATGACGATTCCATCAAAGATGAAGCTGATGTGGGCGTGTACTTTACGTTCTAGCGTTTAAAGGGTCAAATGCCTCAGTTGCGTTCTAGAGAGGACTTAAGTCTGTCTCATCCTCGGGAACTGTCCTTATGCGGTTTTTGCAACTCGTGTTTCGCTTTCTGATACGAGGTGACACACAATCATCAATACATTAATGGCCAGATTAACCTAACCTAACGCATCCCTACGCGAGTAGTTTGAATTTTGAAAGATTTCGAAAAAATTTAATGTTATTATAATTTTTCAAAATTCTGAAAGTTTTTTTGAAAATTTCAAAATTCTGTGAGATTTTAAAAAAAAAATCGAAAATTATTAATTTTTAGAGATATTCTGCCAATTTTGTTGCTATATCTTGACCGTCAGATGTTTTTCATACTGCTGCCCCGGGATCTTGAATGTGTATTCTTTGTTTAACGACGCTGTCATGGCCCAATTTAAGGTATAATCTCGTATTGGGATCACGAAAGACCTCAGAAAGATTTGAAGCAGAGACTTCCAGAATACGAAGTAAGACTGCGATCCACTCGACCGTGGAGGGGGCGGCGTCCCCCACTGGTGAAGGGAACAAGTCGATCCCACAGCGGGGAAGAGCAGTTCATTGGCCCTCAAAGATCATTGATCTAATTGCAGAGACTTCTTTTGTGCTCGTTTGAAGGAGGAACTCGAGAAATCTCGAAGCAAATTGTAAAAGTCGATCGCTCGAGCGATATTTCTTCAACACCGACGATCACTGCAGTAGAGTTATTATGCCGTGTCCAAAACTTTTTACGTCGACTGTGTTTCTCCTTATTTTCGTCGCTGCCTTTTATCGGGAGGTCCTGCGTTCAAATCTCGTGCAACGCGAGGATCTTCAAGGCCGTGAATGTGTCATTCTTGGTCTTGTGACGTTGTGTGTTTCGGAGGAACATACTGCCTCCATCTTCAGAGCGGGTAGTACGTGCACATACTCGGCATCAGAACCTATAAAACCAAGTTTAAGAAACCCAGGATCTTTCATCCGATGCGTTTTATTGATTCGGGCACGAAAAGCCGTTGTCTTAGAGTCGATTAGACTGCGAAAAGAATCGATCCTCGACTTTGCAGTGGAACAGTGGCCGCTCCAGAGCTCGTGATGACAGTGATTTTGAGGCGTTCGAAATTAAGTAAGCGGGTGTTAACGAAAATCAACATTTGTTGTCGCCTTTCGCTCTTAAGTTAGCACCAACCTGTGAAAGCCGTCACGTGTCTCCGGGACAACCCATCACCAACCGACGTTTCCCATTTGTGTTGTTTGTTCTGTCTGGAAAAATCGGTGGCTCATACAGCAGCAGACTGTAATGCCACCCGAAACCTGCAGGAAGCACCTCTGAAACGTCGGTGAGCTTCTGCCAGACTTCCCGGCGCGAGAACCCAGAAGACAGTCGACATCAGGACTTTTGGAAGCGAATTAAATGCTACGAAAAAGTTATATTTTCCCCCCCGGCGTCTGCTGGTTACGTCATAGCTCGGCGGTAGTTCCCGTGAGTCGCGACGTGGCTGGAGGGAGTCTGTGCCGTATCGAACCGGTCGCTCGCCTCTCAGTGGCACGCAACACGCCGCGCCAGGAAGACGTTTGGCGCTGCGTCCATATTGATTTAGTCTGACGGATCTGAACTTTGCTGCGGTCTCGCGCGGAACTGTGTCCACGAACACGGGGAGGATGTGGTTTCTGTGCTTAACCAGTGCTAGTGACGCACGCCGTCTTGTCGACGTGTTTTGTTTCATTGTGCGAGTGTTACGTGCGTGAATAACGAAGTTCTTGAAGTATGAATGCTGTTAGCGATGCTCGCAGAAGAACCGGGTGCCACGAAAGGAGAGAATCGAAACTTTAGCCGTTCCATAGTCGATTTTATTTTCGGGTTTAAATGTTCTGGCGTCCGATGCTTCGTGCCTCGTCCTCCGAAGTATTAGCGGTCCGTTTGGTGTTGATGTCGGATGGGTAAACGCGCGTCCAAGTGCCTTCTAAGTGCAGGGGAGTGCCGGCCATATCGGGTTTTCTTTCAGTACGAGAAGGGTATGGTATCGATTTTTGAACAGTGCAGCTCTTGGAAATACGGTGAATGCGCGCGAGATGCGGGTTTCTCTGTTGCTTGTTTTATTAACGAGCTTCGCCTCAGTCTTCCTCTGCCTTGTTTACTGAAAGTGGCCTTGTAACACATGGACGACCATCCCAGTGCTTGGTCGCTTCGAAATAAGTTCCTAACGTGGCTGAAGTTGCTTTGAATTCTACCGGTTTCTGTGACGAAATAAAAAATAAAAGTGTGAAGTGTGTGACTGGAATTCCTGAGCGAAGTTTATCAGCTACGTCAACAGTTTTACATTTGAATAAGTTAGGCTTCTGATGCCGGCTTAACAGACAAGACGCCAGAGAAGATAGAACAAAAAAGTGACGTTGTTTGTGCATCCCAGCACGGAAAGAAGTCTCCGTGGTAACACACAGCCGGGTGGAAACCTGTTGAGAGCGACAAAACCAGAAGACAGATGGCTGTAGTGAACGTCGGCCATTGCCAAGGATGTAACAGCTGACACGTTACGAAATCTTCAAAGTTCTTGTCTTTCGTCGAAACGAAATTTGCAGTCAGTTGAGACCGCTCGCAGGCGTCATGTTGGCGTCAAGGTAGCAGGAGTTAATTGCGATGGGTGCTCACGGGTCCAGAGAGAGGGCCCCAGGCCCCAGAGGGGGGATCGGCACTCCGTCGAGGACTCGTTTCGCCAGTCTCAAGAGAGGTGAGTCGAGATTCGGCTAATAATAGTCACGTGATGACCTCAGCTGTCTGGTCGCTTACGAACAATAAGGATCGGGGGCTTTTTGGCTTATTTTAAAACTGGGCGACCTAATTCACTCCAGCACGCTTACTCCCAGATGTGACGGTGAAGTCAGCTGGAAGGCGAGTATTTCAATGCTGTCGGCCATTGCCCAGACACACACACACAACGTCATGTGATTGGTTATGTAACGACATTATTTCAGCTACCGAGATTAGGTATGGCTGAGGCAGAAAGTCCTGGAGACAGGCCACGACCACTTCCTTCTACATCCTTTCCACTTCATTATTCAGTAATAATTCTCTGATGGACGCTGTACCCTGCCCCGAGTTATTGGACGGCGTTGTTAAATAAACCATAAATAAATATGATTTTTGTGAATGGTAACTGACAGTGACATGACGTTCAGGCCAGTTTTCTCGGACATCAGGAACTAACACCCACACTAAAGAACGTTGTGGTGTTTCGGCCTATTTTTTCTTTCCTGAAGGAAGGAGGACAGGCTGGCATTATGTAACTCAACAAGGGAACAGTTTCTCGTCCGGCCCATGCAACGAATGGTACCTGTAACTTTTCATCGTTGTTTGAGGAGCCAGAACTCTTCTGCCAGGGCTGTCCATGGTCCGTAATGCTCGCAGCATAGGCGTAACCTTGGCACAGACGAAGGTTGTGTGTTTTGGTCGCCCGTAGGTGGAGTTGTAATGGACCTACTCGTCTCGCATTATGTAATTCCGGTCCGGTCACAGTTTCTCAGAGAGAATAAAACATTCATGATTCATGTACAGACACTCCACGCACTTGGCTGTTACGTTCCTTCATTGAAGCATCCACAGGTTTTAAATGAACGGAAAAGCCGGACATGCGGATAGAACAGAAATTTATTAAGAACCTCTTTCGTTAAGTCTTAAACACGGCCGTCAAGCGATAATTTTATATGTGGATTACGCCAGTGTTTCATGTCACATCTGAATATTGTGTTCTGCAGTGACCCGTTTCTAAGATCGATGTGTTGTAAGGAAAGTTATTTGACGGCTGTGCCGCTGAAACTGGGAAACTCCCAACTGAGGAAGCGATCACG